TTCTGTCTGACATCGAAATATTAAGCTGATGACTGAAGAAAAAATACTTCACTGTTTTCTGAATAGAGGAATATTCTCTTTAAGATATTTGCAAGCAAGTTTTATAACTACCTATTTTCCTACATATACTATCTCTCTCCTTTGCAAAAAGAATTAGAAAAATAAACGCAAAACGTTCACTCCTACGGCTATATCTACTAACGCAGTTCAATTAACATGAAGTGCATGTGAGTTATGAAGAGCTGGCAAAAATGTGGAGGAAGCAAAATATTGGGGTATTTCCAAACTTGTTTTAAACATTCAGGCATCAAAAACGAATCACAAATAAGTTATCATTAAATAACTAACATTAATATCTTACAGTGTTGTACTAAATCGGTTGAAACTGATATATTCGTATACTTAGTATCTGGACCGCCTCGCATCCACTCCCTGGTCACTCAGAACTGATGAAGACGTGACATCTCTTTCTGGAGTGTTGGTTACATATGATTCATGGGGGAGGAGGCAGGACATTTTGGACGCATTGTTTACTTAATTATCATCATTATCTGATAGGTGAACCTTCATTGACAATTTACTGCAATAAAAATGCATAGGACTCGTTTGTGTTAGATATATTTCAAATGACGCCAGTGATAAAATTAACCTCATACCCTAACACCCTCCCCCCCCCCCCCCCAATATATCACTCGGATGACAGTGTATTATCTCACACGAAACATTATTTACGTCACTGGTTATGATCAAATGCACTTTTTTTCTGAACAGAGTTTAGTATATGTGACTGACCTGAGCGAACTATGGCGCCATCTGCTGGAATCGGCAGACTAAAACTTTATAAACTTTAAATTATGTGATCATATCTGAATGTGCGATGATGTGTTCTTCATTTACCTTCACAATGTCAGATAAACTTGAAAATATATGTTTGTGTGTGTGTGTGTGTGTGTGTGTGTGTGTGTGTGTGTGTGCGTGCGTGTAATCTGGTCATGATAACGAAGGCGTTTATTAAATTATATTACAGAGTTTTGGCCAGTGGCAGGAAAGAAGAGTTGATTAGTTGGAGAAAAATACCACTTATCCAAGGAAAATCCGTGCAATATTTTAATACGTCAGCACAAACGCCGTGAAGATACGCTATGTCTATATTTTGCCAAAGTATTTTATTCAAATGGATTTTTTTCACTTTGCATCATACAGCCAGTTATCATAACGCATGTCTGTACTGTCATGCACAAGTTATAAGAGGTTTATTCTACCTCCCCAATATCCTCCTGTCATTTCATGCCGTCAATATTGACATATAGAAGACTTCAACATATATCATACATCACATGATTCTTTCACATACAGTTTTTGGGAGACCTGGACGGCAGTAATGTCGACAGGGAAGATTTAATTAAAACGTTAAAACACATAATTGTAAATAAACCTAAAAACTTGGCACATTATTTAAAAAACAGTTTAAGTCTAAGACAGACAGTTTTATTTAAGGCGGCACATGTGCTGATTATACCATGAATTATAGTGTTTATTTAACTTCCAACCTTTATATATATATATATATATATATATATATATATATATATATATATATATATATATATATATATATATATATATATATATATATATATTACTATGATGATTATTTTTTTTATTACTATTATTATTATTCTCTGTTTCTGATATATTGCAGTATGTATAAAGTACGGTGACTTGTAGGCCCATGAGGCCGGGTGAGGCTCTTTCACCTGTCCCGTTAATAAATAAATAAATTCTACAGCACTTGAATAACACATTTTATGTAATAAAAGAAATGAAATTCAATTCGTATCAAATATTTTTTCTTCGATAATTAATATTTCAAATTGTTACACCTCCGCCTGGCGTTTGGTACAATACAGAAAAGGTGGTGATTATACTAGAAAGTTTGAAACAAGAGGAGGTGTGTTAATCTGTTAAACTGATTGCATTCAGCAGAGTTGGATTGATCTACGTAGAACGAAATGGAATGAAATCTTAGATTCATTTTAAAATGTATCTTATTATTATTGTAGTGCTCTTAATATTCATCTAGAACTTCAACCCACTGGGTTATCAATATCTTATCAATAAATAAGAAATAATCATTATTATACAAGGCGATATTCTGGCATCTGTTCTGTCTCAACATGATTGTGACGTCTACCACAGAATTGATGATAATGTGTTAGGTGTGACAAGACGTTAACCGCTGTTGTCGATTATAGGCCAAAACAAACAAATTTTAGCATTTTATTTGTCTAAATATGCCAATAAAGGCATTTGATCGCACTTTTCTTGCCGTTTTTTTTTTTTTTTTTTTTTTTTTTTTCCTCATCTACGGGTTTGAGTTTCAAGATCCTTCTTTAAAATGTGAAATTAAGTTGTTCATAAAAATTTAAGATGCAGTATTACTTGCAAGGTGAAC